CCTTACCAGGAAGCAATCTCCACCTAGAAACCATACCATTTTCATTGTTTTGTTGGGTTGGGTTTTTATCCTCTTTTGTCTTGTTTGTTTATGTTAAATCTGATGGCAGGAGCAGCTATTTAAAAGATAGCAAGACACTATGATGGCCACTTTGGATTTACTATTGGCTTGTTTGAAATCCTTTATTACTCATTGAGTTGTTTTTATTGTTTTTCTTCTATTCTGTTTTGTTCTATTTTATCTGAAGGTATCTGCAGCCATTTTGAAGACAACAAAAGGCATTATGGTAACTGTTGTTGATTTCATAAGGTTTCAAAGTGCTGCATCACTTATATTGGTTTATTTTGATTGTTTTATTTTCCTTGGCTTTATCCTCTTTAAAATAAATAAAAATAAAAAGGGGAGAAATATTTCCCATTGTAAGAAATGACAATAGATCAAAATTTGGATCTATAATAAATAAAAGCACTAGAAATAAAAAGAATGCTCATTAACCTAAAAATTTAAAAATGAACTTCAACAAAATAAAAAAAGAGTTAATGTCATATTTAAAGGTAAAAAAGTAAAATTCTATCCCCAAGATCAAGAATAACACATTAATTTGTACCTTCTTCGTTATTCAACATTGTACTAGAAGCTCTGGCAGGGCAATGTGAAATAAAATCAAAAAGCATCCAACCTATAAAGAAAGTAGTAAATCTATTTGGATATTACAACACATATAGAAGCTATTAAAGTGCATAGAACCTATTAAAATTAGTAAATTTGTTCAGCAAGATTACAGTATACAAACTCAGTATACAAAAATTATTATCTATGCACTAAAAACTAAAAGATCTGAAAAGGAAATTAAGAAACAATTCCATTTACAATAGCTTTAAAAAGAATAAAAAACTTACAAATACATTTACCCAAACAACTGCAAACGTATACTATAAAAGCTAAAAACACTGTTGACATAGACATTTTCAAAGAACAAAATGAGGCTGGGGATTTGGTTCAGTGGTACAAATGCCCACCTAACAAGTGCAAGGTCGTGAGTTTAATCCCCAGTACCAAAAAAAACAACAAAATGAAAGATCAGAAGACTCAATACCATTAAATTGGAAATATTCCTTCCTCAAATTAACCTTCTTGATTGAATTCAACTGTTAAAATTCCAGTTATTTTTTATAGAAATGGCAACCCTGATTCTAAAATTCTTATGGAAATGTGAGAAACACATGGTAGCCAACCCTGAAAAAGAAAAATGAATTTGGAGACATACACACTTTGCATTCCAAAACCTGCCACACATGTACAATAATCCAAGACAGTGTGATAAAAACATGAAGGTAGCTGTAAACTGTACATTAAAGGAACAGAATGGAGGTCTAGGAATAAACTACTATACTCACCTTCAAATGACATTCAATAATGATACAATGATAATTCACTGATGGGTAAGAAAATCTTTTCAACAAATGGTGCTGGGACAAATGAATTAATATACACAAAAGAAATGAAGCTGGATCCTCATTTGATACTACATTAAAAATCAAGTTGGAATTGTTAGATATACCACCAAAAACCTGAGTAACACAGCAACAAAAAAGCAGATAAATTAAATGTCATCAAAATGAAAACTTGTGTTTTAAAGTGCACCATTATACTGGGGGTGCTAGTGTGTGCATGTGTGTGCTGCAGACAAAGGGGCTGCTTGGACTCAGGAGTTCAAGATAAGCCTGAACAACGCAGAAAGATTCCATTTTAAAAACTCAGGAAAGTAAAATACAAAAATAAATCCATAGAATTGAAGAAAGCACAAATCACATATGTGATAAGGTACTTATATCCTGAGGATTTGAATAAGCATTTTTCAAAGTATATGAAAAGGTGCTTAACATCATTAGCTATCAAAAAAATGTAATAAAAGTCAAAATGATAATCAGAGAGGCAGACAATAGTAAGACTGCAAGAACATAAAGCAAAGTCCTCATATACAGCCATTCAGAGCATAAAACTGTGTCAGTGCTTTGAAAAACAGTCTAGTAGTTTCCTCAAAAACTTCAAAACAGAGTTGCCATATGACTGAAAAATTTATCCTTTGGTATATACCTAAGAGAAATAAAAACATATATCTAAATGGCGGATAAAAAGTAGTTTATTTTCCTTACCAAGGGTAAAGCTGACACCCCTATAATATAACACAGGTTAATAAAAGCACAATTTTTTATTTAACCACCTTTTATATTATATGGGAAACTTCAGAAAAGCTTAAAGATCCAGGGTAAAATGTATTCTTATGAGCAGTTTTTCAGAAGTATGATTGGAAGGCAAAGTGGTTGAATCTCATGGTAATAAAATGAAAGTGTTTAGCAAAGTTTGTCTGTTCAGATCCTTCATGACCCCTGGGTATTGAGCAAGACTCCTCTGGAATGAGGGTCACATCACCTACTTTTAGAGAAAAGGCCAAAGGGGATTCAGCTAAAAAGGCAGGAAGGAGGTCAGTGAGTGATGTTCCTACTTGTGTAGCTTTCTCATTTCCTTCAACTCAGCATGCAGAGGGACTGCACTTTGCAGTGTCATTTTATGAGCCCCAACACATACATCAAATTCTGTACATATTCACCACAACATTGTCCACAATGGACAAAGAGTGGCAACAAGTGAAATATCCACATGCTAGTGATAAATGAATGAAATGTAAAACAGCTTTATAACAGAATATTACTCAATACTGATGAGGAATAAATTATTGACACAAGCTAGAATATGGATAAACCTAATGGATAAACCTCATGGAAGATGATGTGTCACAAAAACCCAGATACTACAATCCTATTTATCACAAATGTTTACAGAAGAAACAAATATACAGAAAAAATAGGTTAGTGGTTATCTAGGGCTCGTCAGTTAGGGAGAAGTGTGGAATGACTGCTAAAGGATATAGGATTTCTTTTGGGGATGCTGAAAATGTGAAGTTGACTGCGGTGATGATCTTTTAATTTGTGCAGAAACTAAACACCATTTGCTTCAACTCTTTAAATTGATGAAACATAGTATTTAAGTTACATTCTAATAATACTTTTTAAAAGGAAGTACAGAGGCACACCTTCTTATTGACAATGTAATTATAAAACTTTTAAAAATCTACATGGCTGTATGAAATATTAGAATAAGACCACTGAGGAAATTATTCAACAGAATCTCCTGATAAAAGAAATCAATAATATTCCCATATTCTAGAAATTATCAGCTTAAAATACAATCAAAAATATATTATACTGTAATATAATATTATTTACTACTAGCTAGAAATAAATCTAATAAAACTGGGCAGCGTCATTTATAGCAATTTACAAAATCTTATTCTCCATTTCATGGAAGATTGTAATTCTCTGAAAACTAATTTATAAACTAAGTGTGGTTCTGATCTACTTTCTAAAATTTTCATTAAACTAGTGAAACAGAGCCAGGGTTTTAGCTCAGTGGCATAGTGCCTGCCTGGCAAGCGCAAATTTGTGAGTTCGGTTACCAGTACCATAAATAAATAAATAAAATTAGTATAATGATTCTTAATATTGAAATCTAGTGGAAAAAATACATACTGGGATAATGATTTACAAAGAAAAGAATAATTCAGTAGGCTTTTCTAAATAATTATTTGAATTATAAAATTACAACACCTAAAACCATGAAAATAACACAAACTCCAGAAATAAACATATATACACATTAAAGTTGGAGACTGGAGAGAGACAATATCACAAATCAATTAAATTACTAAGCAAATGATGTAAAATATCATATTCAAAAATGAATTCTAAACAGATTACAGACTTTAGGATGATAAAAACAAAAAATTCTAAAGTAAAAACATTAGAGAAGAAAATAATAAAACTGACCATCAATTCATAAATTTTGAAAATCCAATTCATCTTATCTAAGGAACAAAAAGATTATTAAACATCAGAACTAAGTCACAGGAAATCACAGAGTTCATTATTTCAATGGCATAAAGAAATAAAAATTATCACCAAATAATCATGTAGTTATAAATCAACAAAAGGGAGTACTATTTGCTCTTACCATACTATGAATTTTTTAAAGGTTGTGGATGCAGAAACATATAAAAATTAAGATAATAAATGTACCAGGATTCACTCTCTATGTACTATTATCTAGTGTATAATACATTCTCTTAAATATCTTCAGTGGATTGATTCACACATTCAGGCATATCCTTTTCCCTAATTTAAATATTCATGCATAAGTGCAGTCAGACATATCCATATTATTGTTGAATATATATGTGTATATATATTTAAATTATACATTTATTTTACTGTGCACATATATTGAAAGACTCCCATACTAGCTTTGTTTCCTCCTTTCCAACAACATCTATGGCAAAATAAAATTTTGAAATTTGATGGGAATAAGTGAGCAAGAACTCAAAACAAAGAGAATGCCATAAAAAAATATTATTTTGAAAAAATATCAATCGAAAAGTTGTAGAAATGTTATGGGTTGATGGCAGCAGTTATCTTCTATTAAAATTTTCTTTAAAAAATTCTAAGCCAAGAAATCACTATTCTCAAAAAACGAGTATTTGTAAGTATTTTTAGATTCTTTTCCATTTTATTTTTAAGAGCCCAGAACAGTCTTAAAATTATACAGCAATGAATTCTGGCTACATTTATAAACTTAAGCCTTAATTTTAAAATATCAAAGTCCATGATTCTAAATATGTTTTTTCAAAATATATTTTATTTCAAAATGCAATAGCCTTTATTTTTTAATGACTACATTTTAGGGTAACTATTTGAAGTCAGTTTCCTGCTTTGCAACATTAATTTTTAAAAAGCTGTGGGTCTTAAGTGAAAGAATATAAATTAATGCTAGTCCCCATTGGTGGATTTGAATATATAACTTGCATTTAAAAAATAACATGCATTAAACTACCTATAAGAAGTGAGATCCAAAATTACAGTGTGAATTACATTTTTGTTGAATACCTGTATTTTTGCATCAATATTGTATTTTTCTTTTTTCCAATGTGTTTCCTCCTTCCTCAGTTTCTCCAGGTCATTTAGCAGGTCACTGCAGCGGATACTTAATTTCTCATTTTCCTCCTCCAGATTTTTTATAACAAGTCTGCTTTGCTCTTCTTTATTCTGTACATACTCCTTAGTGTCCTGTAGAACAGTACCACGAGGGCCGATAAACAAACAAAAAAAAAAGGTGAGAACTAATCAGCAAATATAAACTGCAGTTTTATCCTCACAGCAGCTTATTCTATATTTGATGGCCAAGGTCACCTGTGTACTTTTATTGGCCTCTTTTGATGCAGGTGGATGGGTCATATTTTTTCACTGGATGACAGCTTTGATGAGTACACATTTGCAAAGAGCCCATTAATTGATCAAGCTGCCTTTGATGCTGTCCCCAGCTATTTTTGAGACCCACACAGACATATCCTCCCAGACCTGGGTTTTATCAATTAATAATGCCAGTCCCATCAGAATCTAATTAAAAGAAGCCACATATTCACACTCCTACTTTCTTAGCTCCATTTCCATCATTAACTATTAATCTGAAAGTTATAAAGCTTGGAGTCTTAGCTTTAAAGCATCTTTATCAGAGTTTTTACATGTGAGAAAACTGTATGGTACAGCAGGGCCTAAGGCAATTTTTCCTCCCAGCCTGTCACTTTCTGTGCCACAAAGGCTGACAAAGCTTAAAGTAAGACTTCAAAGCAAGGGTCCTACAAAACTATGTACAAGTCAACACACCTTAACTTCTTGACTTTTATCTTTAAATTCCTTTTGCAAGTTACTGAATTCTTTCCTCAAGAAAGCATTTTCTTCATCTACTTCAATCTTCCGTTTTACAAGGTCATTTATTTCCTGTTTTAGTAATGATTCTCTCTGTGAAAAAAAATTTTGAATCATCAATAAACTGATATACCTAAGAAAAAATTATTTTACCTTGTGAGTTTTAGATTTCAATTGCTAATGTCAGGATTAGTTTGTTGTCATAATAAAATCTATCAGCACAATTCTCATTTCTTGGGACCTGCCATGGGTTTATCTAAAATATGCAAGTATTTTATCTATTTATAAGTTTAAGATAAAAACAGGACATTAAATGTTAATGTATACCAGAAAGAAACTTTCAGAATTGCAGTGTACAACAGGAAAAAAATAAAATTTTATAAAACATTTCTAGTAAAGCAAATGCACATATATCCAAAATACGACTTATATCCTTTTCTGAATGTCATTTGGAAAATTCTTTGAATAAGTTATGACTTTGTGAAGGCAAAAATCATTTCAAAGAATAAAAAGTTTTTTTTTGTATTCAAAACTGTCTTATCCTGTAGATAGACTATTCAGAATATTCATACTGCTGTAATTTTTAGCCAAATAGTCTTCCCACTAGCTAGAGGTATCCAAATGTCTTAATTGGTGAACATACTCATGACTCCCTCTTTTTTATCATTTTCCTCTCAGAATACTTATACCTTCTATTGAATTGTCTTCTTCAAACTGTCTGAAAGACTATCCAATCCACAATCTAGCTTAACTCCCTGGTACCCAACCTCACATTTGCAACTTGCTACACAATATCACTGTTTGAATTAACATTACTTCAAAATAGCACCCACGATAAAACTGAAATCCTCACAGTATATCTCTCCTACATCATTCATCTTTTGTCAACTCATCCATTCTTTCAACTAATACTTACTAAGCACCTACTATGTGGGCTGAAAGGTTTTATTTGAAGCCTCCAAATCAGTTTCAACAGTGTCATCTGTCTGTAAACCAAAAAGCAGAAATGTCAAAATAGACATTTTATTTTTGAGTTACACACTCAGAAGAAACTGGTCTTTATTTGAACTCTGGTCTCTCACTGACACTGATGTCTAAGTATTATGTATTTCTATTTTTATTCCTTACCTAATCTTATCCATAAGACTTGAGGATGAAGTGAAATCTAGGGTAAGATTCAGGAATGGAATGTAAAATGCACTGAGTTTAAGTAATAAACTGAGGGTATCTTATATATCCTAATATTGTAAAGTTGTGATTTTAGTGGGTGATTGTATCTTATTCCTACTATAAATATTTTAGATATTGAATACTACAATAATAAACTGATAAGCAGGTAAAGACTAAAAGGAAAAAGTAACCGGAAACATCCTGAACATAGCTGAAATACAACTGTACCATTATCTTGGAAGTTTATATGTTTATTGCACATATTCTCTTATCTTTCAATGCTTCCTATGACCCAGGGTTTCCGTAATCCTGGAACTCTGTTTATTATCTTTCTCTTGCTTCTCATTATAGTCCAAAGACAGACACATTCCTATTTAATATATAGCTTAGCTTATTTTAAACTAAATATGTTAAACCATACTACACATATTCTGGCTATTTTTGTTCAATATGTGTCTCCAAATTCATCTATATTGATGATAACAGCTGTCATACAATTACCTTGGTATATATAATAATTGTTATGTAAATATGCTATAACGTATTTATCTGTCTTTTGTCAGTATATAGTTTGGCTGTTCCCCATTCGAAGGAAAGAGGTGTATACAAATAATGTGCTAAAAAAAAAATTTAAAGCAAATCTGCAGCCACGCATAAGTAAGAATTTTTCCCAGGCAGTATTTTTCAAACAATAAACACCAACCTAATAATGGGTCATTAAATCGGTTTTTCAATCAGATTGACATTTTTAAAAAATGGATACAATAGAAAATAATAAATGACATGCATGAATTTTTAGCAAAAAAAGATGCCAGTAAGAATAAACATATAAAAATAAGCACATTCACCATACAAATTAAAATACTTCCTAAATTTTTGTCATACTTAAGTTAGAATGGAATTTTTATTTTATTTAAATATAATTAAACTTATATTTGGTGTAAATATTGTTGTATGTTTACCTGTAGATAGAATATTCAGAATATTAATACTGCTGTGATATTCAAGTTTTAATTTTTTATTTCCTGTTTTAATTATTAGATAATATCAAACTGCATCCTATATCAATTGAACAGCATAAAAACAGATATGTCATACAAGAATAGTCCATCCATAAGTTACAATTGTTTTCCTATTCACATGTAGGTCTTATCCTTGTTTAAATTCAACTGACCCCTGGCATAAGCGCCTGCCTTGCAAGCATGCAGCTGTGAGTTCGAACTCCAGTGTCAAAAAATAAAATAACACAAAATTAAAAAATAAATTCTACTGTATCATACTGACACCAAAACTGTATGACTTGTCAAAGCAGAGAACAGCAGAAAACTATCCTTGATGAACGCTAATGAAAAAATCCTCTATAAGATTCTGACAAAAGAATCCAACAATACAGTGAAAAGAATATATAATATGATCAAGTTAGTTTCATCCCAATGAGGTAAGGATGGTTCAAAAACAAACATAAATCAATAAATGAAATCATAAATAAATAGAATACAGGATAAAAGTCACACAATCAACATGAAAAGCCTTCAACAAAATCTAACAGCTTTGTCTGTTAGATATAGAAGATCTTATCTCAATATAATTAAAGCTATATATCACACACCCATAGCCAACATCACACTGAATGAGTAAAAACTAAAAGCATTTCCCCTAAAACAAGGGTCCTCGCTTCCTCCCCTCCAGGCAGTGCAGCAGTACCATAAGCAGTGCTTGAGACTCTGAAGCTTCACTTGCATTTTAGCAAATCACCATCACTTGTGTTACCAGCTGAACTCTGCCTTTTGTCAGATCAGTGGCAGCACCTGAATCTTACAGAAGCCCAAACCCAACTGTGAACTATGCAGGCAAGGGATCTTGGTTGAGGGTTTCTTTTAAGAATCTAATGCTTCATGGTCTGAGGTGGAGCTAAGGTAGGGATGCTAGCACTGAAACACAACACATTAATATTAGGCAAAGAGAACTGAGGGCACAGAGACCATAGGAAATCAACTGCATGCAAACTCATTAAAACCCTAACAGTAAATGGTACAAAACAATAGAGGTACACTGGTGGCAGGCAGCAACTAAGTTGATATACTTCAGTTGCAAAGCTGCCACAGCTTTAGGTAGGAGGCTTTTTGTTAGAATCCAACACTTAATTTTAGTCTATGCATGCCCTGCCTATTAATTTATCTCTATGCACACCTATTTCTCACTTTTCCTAGTCATAGCTTTTGGTAAGCACAAAAGTTAACTCCAGCCAAAATAAGTAAAAAATCAAAAACATCACTGGGGAGCTTATTTGAAAATGAGAAAAGATCCAATGATGATCCAGTGGTAGACTGCCAGAAAAGAAATGTATACTTAAAAGAAAACACCAAGAGTCCTATTTAAATTAAGCTTTCAAGAGAATTTGAACATTACTTCCAAAGCCTAAGAGACCCTGAAAATGAGAGGAATGGATCTGTAACCCATCTGGGAATAAGCCAGGTGAAATGACTTTGTCCATGTTAGATCAGCAGCTTTGAGATTGCAAATGATGGTGTCCTTAAAAGTATATGTGCAACAGCTTCAAATCTCCATATGATTGAGGATTAAAATCAAGGTGAATATCCTGAGATTGCCATAAACACAGTAAAACATCTGCTTCCATTTGCAAAAACCAACAGGATTTTCTGTTGGGACAGCAACAAAATGAGATTATATGCATCACTCTTTGATGTCATTTTCTCACATCAACTTCAGATGGTACCATCTAGTTGCATAAAAACAAGCTCAGGGCTCCCACTAATTCTGCATTATTGTAAGTTTCACATTATTTCATTATAATTTACTATTACATGCAGCTAAGTTAGATAGTTATAGGCAGTCAGACATCAAGGCAGCTAGACACTCAAAAGAGTCAGTGCAGAAGATGAGAACACATTACAACTGTGGTTGAAGATATACCTTCAAAGGCCAGGCCTCAAAACAAAGACAGAATGACCAGGCCTACATGCCACCCTAAGGAATAAGCTATAAATTGAGATTAAATACTATGATCACTATCAGGTGGCCTAATAAAGTCTAGATAGACATCAGTCACTCAAGTGAGTGACCAGAACCTCTAGGCCCATCCCTTCCTAAAATGTCTTTGTTATTTCCATGTACCCTTGCTACAAGATTTCCTTCCTATTGGATCAACAATACCTAAGTGGCTATACGTATAATCTTATTGGTTGATTATTTTGTACTACCTATGTTGTACTACTTATTGGTTGATCATGTTGTACTACCTCGTGATTTTGCTCTATAAAACATTCTCAGAGAAATGGGCTCTGTAGCAACTCACTTTTGGATCCCCTCCTATCTCTCAGAATGGATTTCAATACATTTTTCCTACTCTTAACCTCCATTCCTTAGAATTCATTCTTTGATATCAGAGGGCACAAATTTGGGGTATCTCACATCTAGCAGTTTGGGAGTTACATTTTCCCACTGAAATGTAATAAAAATAAAAATAAAGGGAACAGTAAGTGTAATGCACTTGAATGATTCCTAAACCACCGTCCAGAAACCCATACATCCCAGTCTGTGGAAAGACTCTCTTCCATAAAACCTATCCCTATTGTCAAAAAGGTTGGGGAACCATTGCTCTAAAATCAGGAATGAAATAAAGGAGTTCACTTTCAGCACTTATGATGAGACAGGACAGAAGTTTAAACACAGCAATTTGGCAAAAGAAAGAAGAAATCAAATAGGAAAGGAAAGGGTCTTGATATTATTGCCTGTGATGAAATGAACAGCTATTTTGAAGAAAATAAGTCATCATAATAGCTAGTGCTGATTTACTATCATCTTGTTTTGAAGCCCCACCAAACTATGGCTCTTCTGTCTCCATTGGTTGTATCATGATGTATCTTGCTGGATTTTATTATATGTGATAGTATAAACAAAAA